CTCCTTAGTGTGGCGGGAGAGAATGGCGGGAAATAAAATGGCGGCAAAGAAAATGGAGGGAAAAAGATTGCGGGAAAGTATTTTTTTTCATGTATAAAACGGCAATGGTTGTACAGGATTTACAAGGCACTTTTAAATATAAACTCCTATGAAGCTCAAAACAAGTTTTCTAGTAGGATAAAATAAATAAAATACAAAAAATACTACAAATAAAATAGCTACTGATAACTAAACAGAAACAAAAAGAATATGTCAAAAAACTAAAGAAAAAAATTTAAAGCAATTAAAATTAAAAGAAATAGCATAAAACCTAACAAACACTAAAACAGAACTGTTTTCATAAAAACCTAATTTTAAATAATTATAAAATTCGCCAATTAATTACTACTGATAAACAAATTCACAAAGAACCAGTAGCAAAAAGAATCATCTTAAAAAATACTCCTAACTCAAATTATAGGCAATCTAGTTATTTGAGCAAATTCATGACAAAATTAAATTCAAACTTTCAAATCTAGTCAAACTTGATATTTATAGAAACTTCATAAAATTTCTAATCTAATGCAAAAAGAATCAAATTAAAATACTAAAAATCCTATTTGATATGAATTTTTTTTAAATAGTAGAGCAGGTGTTGGCCGAAGAGGGACTCTTTGGCCAACTGTTGGTCGAAAAGTACTTTTTGGCCAACGGTTGGCCGAAAAGTCCCTCTTCGGCCAACAGGAGGCCGAAAAGTCCTTTTTCGGCCAACATGAAGGCCGACAGGGGTGATACTTTTGATTTTTCTCCATTAGGTGTATAGTTTTCGAATTTGTTATAAAAAACATCATAGTTTCAAAAAAAATTGATTTCCATTGGGATTGATATGAATAGATGAACTTGTTGTGGTGGCCTGTAACCTGTGAGAGAAGTGCATATTACACCCCCAACTCTAGCCCTAGTCTAATATACACCCGTCAACTCCAATACCGTCTAAAATACACCCCCAACTCTCAAAACCGGCTAGAATTCAACCCTCCCCTTCCTGCTGACCGGTTTTGACTTGAGTGAACAGTAAAAACAAAAGTTTTAAAAACAAAAAATATATTTTTTTGACAAAATTCAAAAAGTTACAAGTTTTTTCACCGCATGAACAGTAAATTCAAAAAAAAATCACCTTTTCAGCATGTTTGGACAGGTGAGTAAGTTTGAGATGTTCGTAAATTCGAAAAAAATTCAAAATTTTCAGCATGGTGAACAGTAATTCGGGAAAAAATCCAAAAAAAAGAGAGAAGTGCATATTACACCCCTCAACTCTAGCCCTAGTCTAATATACAACCCCCAACTCCAAAACCGTCTAATCTGCAACCTCCAACTCTTAAAACCGGCCAAAATTTAACCCTCCCCTCCCCTTGACCGGGTTTGACCCATTGACTGATAAACAGTAAGTTCGGAAAAAATGAAAATTCAGAAAAAAAAAATTTAGAAAGCATTTTTTGCCTCTGGATGAACAGTATTTCAAAAAAAATTGGGAACAAAATTTTTTAAAAATAAATTCGACTTTTCACCGGTGAACAGTATTAAAAATTCAGTTTTTTACATGTACCCGGAGGTAATAAATTGGAAACAAAATTCATCGGGATTTGTTTTTTGAATTACTATAAACAGCGTGAACAGTATTCAAAAAAGTAAAAAAATCAGGAAAATCATTTTTTCACTGCGTGAACAGTGACCGAGGGAAAATTTTCTTTCCAAAAGTTCGAACTTTTTTTGAATTACTGTTCGCACGGTGGAAAAGTCGAAATTATTTTTAAAATTTTGTTCCCAACTTTTTTTTGAATTTACAAATTTTTATTTTTATTTTTTTGAATTTTCCATTTTTTTCAAATTTATTGTTCATCAGTCAACGAGTCAGACCCAGTCAAAACCGGTCAAGGGGAGAGGAGGGTTGAATTTTGGCCGGTTTTAAAAGTTGGAGGTTGCAGATTAGACGGTTTTGGAGTTGGAGATTGTATATTAGACTAGGGCTAGAGTTGAGGGGTGTAATATGCACTTCTCTAAAAAAAAAATCACCACGCGCTCAAACATCATCCATGCAAAAAAAAGGGCTAAATCGATTTTACTGTTCACCAAGCTGAAATTTAAAAAAAAAATTGAATTTACGGACATCTCGAATTTACTCAGGTGTCCAAACATGCTGAAAAGGTGATTTTTTTTTAATTTACTGTTCATGCGATGAAAAAAACTTGGAACATTTTTGAATTTTTTTTAAAAAAAGTATTTATGGATGTAACATCTCAAGTATTTTTGAATGTTTTCAAAAAAAACTTGGAACATTTTATTTTTACTGTTCACTCAGTCAAAACTGGTCAAACTGGATCAAAACCGGTCAATAGGGAGGGGAGGGTTGAATTATGGCCAGTTTTAAGAGTTGGGGGGTGTATGTTAGACGGTATTGGAGTTGGGGGTGTATATTAGACTAGGGCTAGAGTTGGGGGGTGTAATATGCACTTTTCTTGTAACCTGTAGGCATACGTGCCGATTTCTATGCTAAAACAGCTTGTACGTGCTCCCAAAGGCACTGTTGTTCATGTCGTGATCTTGCACAGTATAGAGAAAAATTATATATTTTGCAGTTGGAAATTATAGAAAGGGTAACTATGAAGAAGTCGCAACCTGCAATATTTCTACCTTCTGGTTACGTCATAGGATGCAAATTTCTTGATGTGTAGTTTGTTGTTTTTCTGCTGGTAGGAGGGAAAGAAATATATAACTGATTTTAGTTTACTTTACTGTAGACTTAATATTTGATGATACATATATGCAGCTGTTGCAAGTAGCTTTGTACTGTGAACTTGTGGTACCACATATTATTCGAACATTTACTATAATGAAGTCTCCATTGCCTCATGTTTTTCTTTAGCGCATTGTCGGTATGTTCCATTTGACCATCTCTATTCTTACAAACTTTCTATTTTGAATATATTTACATTTCACAAATAAATTTATTTTAATTACAAATTCATTTTTTTATCTTGCAGTGCCTTCCAGGACTTTGGCAACGTAATGAGTTTGCTTCTATGCAAGGTTGGTTATACGTCTTTCTTTTGCCAAAAATGATTAAGTGAGAGATCCTTTTGACCGTGATGGAAGAAATTGAACAATGACATGTGATATGGATAGCTTTACTTTAAAATTACATTTTGTTGGATATGAAGTTTGAAATTTTGGTGCTATATTATATGTTGTATATATCGGAACACCCGATTTTTGATTTCTAGATGAGTAAAATACATTGGAGGTCCTAGAAGTATTCCAAGTGTGTCAAGTAGGCCCTAAAAGGCGCAGGCAAAATACACATATAGGACCCGTGGTGAATGATTTCAAACTTTTAGGACCTACTTGACACATTTGGAATACTTTTAAAACCTCTGGTGTATTTTACTCTTTTTAGGTTATACATTTAGGCTCAACTTGCCCAGGCTCCATAAAATTTCTGGCTCCGCCACTGCGCGCGTGTAACTAAATTGAAAAATCATTTGATCGTTGTTTTTTATACTTTCTTCGTATTATCCCGTAGCACGGAAGCGAATTTGGTGCTCCGGGGTGCACATTCACCCTATAAATATTTTTTTAAGTTAAATTTTGTTGAAACTTATTTGGAATCAACATGATTAAGTAATTGTATTTGTATAAAAATGCTTGCCAGGGAATGACTTTCATTATATACCGAGTGAAAGATTCAATAAAAGACGATATATACAAGTACTATTCACCCTAGTGGCAAAATCTACCGGCTTAACTGGACG